CTTCATCTCTCACTCAAAACAGTCTTTTCTTTTTAACTAATAAGAAAAGTCGTAGTTGCAACACACGAATCTTAGCAGATCGTATGCCAAAGCATTTGCCCAAAAGTGTCGCGCGCAGATGTTCCAGTATTCTTCTGTCGATAGTCCAGTGAATAAATCAGGTCTGAATACGGTAGAAACTATTCAGAATATGATTCTGCCCATCGTCGATAGTCGTAGTCGATGTCGTATGTGCCTTTCAGCCAACAATGAGAGATCACACCCAATCAAATCTGCTCTTTTCCTTGTACGAAGCTTCCTCTCTGTCGCCCTTCTTGAACTACTTTTGCCTGATATCGTCATTGGCGTCAACAATGACCTTTTTGCCACTAGCCAGTCGCTAGTTCAAGAAATGATTCCTCGATTGTTGCGACCAGATTCTGTATATACCACGTAAGTGTCTCCTTTTGTAACAAGGAAGATTAACGAAGATCATCGGCTTGACCGAATCTTTCAAATTGTATCAGATTTACAAGAGTAAAACACAGAGATCAAGTATATCAAGTAATGCTCATCTTTTAAGCTATCCTTACAATTTCTAAAGATTGGTACCTAAAAATTTGATAGCTTTCGAGCTGTGTAGCTTCATAACTACCCTTCTGTTTTGACTCTTATTCTCTATGTTGAATAAATAAATTGTAGAATACGTACGTCATCTTTTGCCGATTATTTTAACTCCCGAGGTTCTAGCCGTGACTCAGTCGTTCCGATTAAGGTGAACGACACTCCAGTCGATACATCACAACAATCGCAAGCGACGCGAAGAGTAATGGCGTTTTCTATACGTTCAACCAGGTGTAAACGAGTTTTGTTTTTGTTCGATGCGACCTCCTTATTGTTGATGGTCAATCATGTGGATGGGTTCTGTTTACTGGTCTGTAGTGCAGATGCAGATATGCTATTTATATTATAAAAAGACGAGCAGAAATTTGCGATGAACGACAAAACGAATGTGTTGATTGCGTCCCATCATCAATTATTTATCTCTTTGAATCTTATTTCATTGATTGCGGGCAACAATGCTCTCAAATCGTGCGCTAACCCTGAAAATTCGGGAAACCTTCCCTTTAACATCGTATGCTATTGGGGCCAAATCTATATTTAAAAGAAGATAATTAGTTAAGTTTAGATTAGATTTTACCAAGATAATTTTTCTCACATTTTTAAGAAGGAAATAGCGCGCTTGAATCAGCTTGATAGGCGACACGTTGACATTGTTAAGGTAGCACCGCGTATTGACATTCCCGTTTGGATGACGTTAAATGATGGAAGAATAAACTCAGAAGAGAGCTCTAGCTCACCATGCAATTTCTCTTTCACTTGGAATCTTTTCTATCACATGATGGCTGCCTACTTGCGGCGACTAGGGTCCACTTTGGACAAAGCTTTTTCTGCGATGACTTTGTACGATGTACATATGTAGAGCTTAGACGCTCAGATAGCGGCAGCAACGACGAATTTTCGAGCCAGCTATTGACTTCATCCACCATGGAAAATCGTGAGAAGAGCTAATCACTACAACAATTGAGAACGCGATCTTATGATACAACTTGGGCAGCTTCCTGCGTCGGAACCACCACCAATACGTTCACAGGGCCAATTTTTGCTGTTTCCTCCTCTTCATCCACTCCTCTCGATAGGCCAACGCGGTGAAGCTTCGCTCGAACCACGCGTCGCCTTTCTTGGCGAGGAACAGTTGCACATCACATGTATTGCACCTGAATTCTCCTCTCAATTTTTGCCTTTGTCATTTTTTTCAAGTCTTCCACCGACTGATTCGCATCAATGTCGATCGAAAACTTCACGCCAACGATTGCGCAAAACAGCTTCAACATGTGTAATACTGGTGAGCGACTTTTCCTCTGCTTTTCAGCCAATCAGCACACTGCACTGGGCTAGATCAGTAAACCATGTCATATATATCCATCACAAACTCAAAGGAGTGGCGTTGTACGTTCAGTAGCACTCACTTTTAACGGATATATATTTGGGAAGGGCTCTACACACAATCGATTCTGTCAACAAAATCACTCTCTTCTTGGTCAGCATTAGCCCTCCTAATTATGTCTCTCATCGACCGACATTGAGAGTGCAAATATGTGAGCCCCTCATCCACTTTTTCGAGTTCATGCTCCAGTGTCTTAATCTTATTGCTCTCATGCTCCATGCATTCCGACCGCAGCTCTTGTATCTCCTTCTCGAGTGATTTATTGACACATAACAGCGCCTGAATCTCACGGCATAGACCTTCGTTCTCTGCACGAATGTCGTCAGCAGAGGCCATATTTAAATTTATCAGTGTAGTAATGACAAGGACGAAAGTTTAGGTAACCTAGACTTCTTTAATCTGCTATCATTTTGACCTCTTTCGTGGCTCTAGAGCTGCAGGGAAAAGCGTCCGTATTATACTCTTAGAGAGGACTGACTCCTTTCAATTGAATATGTGGAATCAAGTTCGATAAAAATAATTGACAAATGCACCATTAATCAATGTGGTCCTGGACGATAATTAATCAATTCATTGTTCAGTCCTATGATGACGATAAATTGCGAAGTCAGAGAAGACATGCCTACATTGTCAATCAAATCCGAATTACGCTGAAAGTCATGAAGCCTTCACAATTAATTGTGCTGGTGCTCATGCATTAGACAAGCCTGACGACGAGATGACCATCAAATGCTAGAAGAAATCCAATATGCAATGTGAGCAACTTCAGTCCATGTACATTATGTCGAGTCATAACTTCCATTCGCCTAAGTAAGAAAGCGAAGTGATTGTTCGGTCCTACGACTACTAACCGGACCTACCTAGCCCCTGTTTAACACGCGATTACCATACATAGTGGAAACTTAGCTCCCCACCGAGTAATTGAGCAAGGATGGATCAATTTTATGACTCTTAAGACGGCGTTTTCCCCGCTTATTTGACGAGCCCGCCTCAAATGCACGCTGATTGGCGTCCTGCTCACCTTGAGACTTTTTACCGTCGCTTTGTGATTTCTTGCGCTGAATAAACTCGGTGGCGAAAGCTGACACTCGTGGTGTGGATCCTAGGTACGCCGCAAGATATTCACGAATTTCCCCCGGGTCCTCAACTGAGGCCAGGTATTCCAGCAATGTCCCATCAGCGTTGCTATTAATCGTCTGCAATTGCTTTAAAGCCCATCCCATAAATTCCGATGACACAATCTTCTTACCAAATGCATTTGAGGAACCATTTGACACATTTGTGGATACATACCCACTGTCAGCTGACTGAACAGCACCAAAGTTCCAAAAAGAGGCGTCATTGTCGGCCTTCGAGACAACGGGTTTTGCAGCTCCATTGACAACACGAACTTGCTGGCGGCTTTTCAGCACGGACGCAGGTATAGGACCCAGACTTGACCGGGTTGATTTTGGAATAACTGCTGCGGCAATTTTGTTACCCGCTACGATATTCATCCAGTGCGAGCTAGTTGGTGCATTTTCATTAGCTTTCGCTCGCTCCAGCGCTAGACGCTCCTCTTCAGCTAAAATGTCCCGCATTGACTTGGAATCGTTTTTCTTCGTTATAGTTGCCGTTGTGCCCCACGCACTGGTTACTGGGGTAATAGACATAGACGTCGATGCTACATGACTTCGAGCTACGCTCGTTGCGACAGGAGCTGAAGAAGTCCGATGAGCTGCCACAGAGTTCACGCCAAGCATCATCTTCAATTGGACTCCCATTTGAGCAAGATTCTTATCCTCGCTATTGTCCGAGCTCATCTTACTTAGCATCTCACGCTGTTCCTCCTTTTGAATATCCTTGAGTGACTTCGAAATTGTGGATGCGGAAGCAGAAATCGATTTAGTAGCCCACACATTGGATTCAGTCCTGGTATTCTTTTCGCTGACCCGTAAAGAAGGTTTCTCCACATCTTTCTCGTGATAATCGCTGATTTGCACAGTAGATTTGTCAAAAGACGCAGATTTGGATTGACTTTGCTGCGAGCTACTCTCATCGATTATTTCGCGACTTTGATTGGATATACGTCGCATCTCCTCCTTTTGAATATCAGTACATGTTGACGATGGATGCTCTAAGACCTTCGGACTGGTCCTCCATGCATCAATTATGGACTCAGATGCCAGACTTTTCGGTCCAGCTTGCTTTGTAGGTTCCTGCGCCACTTGACTTGACGACTGCGCCGAAAAAGGGCCACCACCTGTGTCAGCGGCATTGTCATTGTTGGTAACTTTTAAAGTTTGATGCGGCCAAGATGCCTGGTTGCGTCTCTGAGCTTCATCATGAGAAAACATGTTCTGACTGAGTAACTGAAGGTTCTGCTGGTTCAGCTTATGCTGCGGGCGGAAGTCGGACTGATAGGGACTCACGTCTTCTGACCTAAAATTGTCGTCCACTCTAATACTACCATTTAACCTTTCATCAAACGTGCCCATTGCACTCAACATACCATCTCGCTGACTCCGCCACGTATTTTGCTGCTGTATGAGCATTTGCTGCTGCTGTCGCTGCTGCTCTTGTTGATGTCGTAGCACTTGCTGTTGCTGATATAATTGTGTTTGCTGCTGTTGACGGGCTATTTCAAGACGTTGCAATTCCAAACGAATTTTTTCTTCTTGATTAAATTGCATCATTTGTTGATGATGTTGCTGATGAAGCTGTATCATTTGTTGTTGTCGTTGTTGTTGCTGTTGTTCTTGTGCTTGTTGCTGCTGTTGACGCTTTTGCTCCCGCTGCATCTCGAGCAAATGTTGTTCAGTTTGATGAGAGTCAGCAGGCATTCCCCTCAAATCATTTAGACGCGGTATTAAAGCTGCGAACGGCACTTGTCCAGGGGCAAATTGACTTGCTAAGGCTGTAAAAACACCCTCCTGGCCAAAACGAATGGGTAAGTGAGGCTTAAAGTAGCCAGCCTCAAACCATTCTCGCATTTCGGATGATTTAAACGGACCCTGCTGTAATCCTTGCGGGTCGAGATAATACCATTCGTCTACCACTTCCAGCCGTATTGGCGATGAACCCGCCCGTTCTCCAGCGTCTAGTTTTGGCGACATAGAAAGACTACTCTTCTCATCAACGCCGACTTGCCTGTCTAAAGCTTCAAGGGCATCAAACGCGCGACTATCGCTTAACTCACGACCTGGCGAAGTTGCCAAAAGATTATTCACGATATTCCTCGTACTACTAGCGTCCTGTTTCCCGACCTCCAAAACTGACTCATCCCATTGTCCACCTTCAGAATCACTATCATCAAATTGTCCAGTAGCCGCTGCATCCTCAAGTTTTTTATCAAATGCATCCAAATCATCCTGAATCTCATTCTAGTAAATACGAACATATCGCAGTCAGCTATCCAATCACTCCACTCATTTAGCTATTTTGTTGAGCTTTACCATTTTAGTCCTTGGACCATTAAGCTCCTCTCGCATCGCATCCATCTCTTGTCGAAACTTTTCGGCCGCCTCTGCCATACTAGAAAGATCCTAAACCAATTCGGTCGACAAAACACAGCGCCATGAGTCCTAGTAAGTTACCAACAAACAACCTCATGTTGCACCATTTCATTGCTTTCGCCTTGCTCAAGAACATCATCCCACGCGTCATCTCCAAGTATTCCTTCAATTACTCTAGCACCTCGGTCCCGCCTTGAGTCTCGCTCATTGTGTCGAAAATGGTCGTCTTTCTGGGCCATTGCTCTGTCTCCGTCATCCCCTCGAAACTCTCGGTCGGAGTGCATGCGCAAATTTGGTTGTACCCCAGGTGGAGCATTTCCTCGACCGCGTCCGCGTCCACGGTTGCGATGTAGCGACCATTGCTTATAGATTTCTTCATAGTCAAAGGGCAGCGTGCTGACGGGTGGTAGACTGTGTTCTGAGGCTACTGTGGTCTCAGGTGGGAGTGTAGGAGTTTTAGTACTTGGGACATGCAAGGCTAGTAGCTCCTCCTTTGTGTATCGCATCACTTTAACCTTGCGACGGTCTCCTCGATGTTCATCGCCCTGTCCGCTTCCTGTAGATGTGTCTTTAAAAAGCGATGAACCACCTGAAGAAGCTGACACGAAACCTTCGCCATCTTTCGACCATTGCGGACGGTATGCGGAACCTTCAGATTCGGTACGACCACGGCCTTTCATGGCAAACATTGTGCGCGGCCGCAATGAAATGTTGCTACTGTTATTGTTGCTGCTTGCGCCATTACTACCGGTCGGAGGTTTTTTGCTTGTCACTTCAATGGAGGAAGCACTTTGCTGTTGCTTTTTGCGATTTTTGGTGGTTATGGTGACGAAATCGTCTTTGCTACTTGGACTGCTGCTCATAATGGCGACCGTGCTCGGTGGCTCTGCTTCGTGTTGTGGTTGCTCTTTTCTTTGGATGTGTGGGGGAGAGCCTTAAAATACGAAGTTTAGATTTGATCCTGACAATTTTAGCAGACTGAGCAAAATTAGTTATTGACAGCAGGTAATTTTTCCTATAGAGAGTCCAACCAAGTTATTTACCAAAGTGTGTGCATAGTGCCTTCTTTTTGTAATTCATCATGGCCGATGAGCAAATTAAGAACTGATCAAGACCATCGTACATTGCCAGCGCCACTGTTCTCAAACGGTCTACAAGAGTGATTTGGCCTGGTCATTCACTTGCGCAAATATAGTACAACCAGGCCGAAACGGTATGGTTTCTCACCAAAGAAATAGTAAATTGAGCCGATCTATACAAGAAGAAGCGGCTTTTCTTATGCTTAACTTGTGGTTGTTTTATAGCAAAATTCCGCTTCGATGTTTGCCGTAGGCTGAAAACCGCTACTGTGTATTTCAAGTTTCGCTATATTACAGCACTCATCCATTCGGCAATCATCGTGCGAAGGTATCCAAGACGTCAAGTACAGAAAATCGTGCGAATTACATGAATTGGCTACCTTGGAAGAAAAAGAGTGTTGCTCGATAGCAGTGTCGAATATGTTAATGTGGGTAAGTACGCATGTGCGCACATTTTGACAGCGTCAACCGGCTGGATTCTCGCCGCATTATCAAGCAAAGGATAGCCTGTGGAGCGAAAAAATGCCGAGGCCTGGTAGGCTAGATACACGTTGAATATTCTGACAAGTACGACCATTCAAGGAATGGCATGGAAAGAGTAGCGTGTTTGCGAAAAATGTTAAGGTGACGAAAAGTTATGCGGTCTCTGCCTGTATGGCAATAAAAGTTTAGGATCAATTTCGACATAACAGCATAAAAGAGCATCATGTGAGGTAACACGAACATAGTGGGGCCTACTCATCTTGATTTATCAGCGACACTGCAGAAAAAGATATAGTTAATTGCTTACTGCCAACACTCTACCAGGATCGGCACGAGGACCAAAGACGCCACCGCGTGTGCTAAGGGCTCGACCCGTTGGAGTTTCACACGTAAGCACATATGGGCTTAAATTTATTGAATCAATACAAAGCGCTCACCTAAGATGTGTTTTCGTGATAGCCACCCAAAAAGGTAGCAATTGTCGAGTATACTCATTATGTATTTGAGGCTCTAACTGTGATGCACCCCTTCACGCTACGTATCATATGGGTTAGTGCTGCAATACAGCAAGCCTTGGGACAAAGCATGGTATGCGGCCGCACGCTCAGACAAAGCGACATCTAAGCTCACAAACTACTTGCTCCCCGAAGCTATCAGCAATGCAACACATGTTGCGTCTGAATTGTACGCTGAGCATATCCCCTCATCAATTATCGGCGTCGCCATTGTTGTATGCAGTAAAAAAATAGATGGGGTAATTCAAAGGCGCTACCGCTACCATACTGAGCCGACCCGACATACACCTTGCCTCAAATTTGTACTCTTCATCGCAAAATTATCTTCTTGCTACTGTTCGTGAGAGATGTACTGACGACGTCGCTGTGCGCAACGATTTATGATCTGTGAAAATTGCAAACGGCTTCGAGTCATGCAGATGCGCAGTGAATTTAATAATGTCATTCTTCTTTGCTAGTTCTCCTTGTTAGAAAAATAGTTCTTCTTAGCAGCTCCACGTTGGCAAAATTCAACCTCGGTCACCCATATACAAGGATTTGCGATCACGGATTCATGCCAGTTGGTATTGGCTTAACATAACGCGCAGTTTATTGCAAAGGCTGAAGTGTTACAGAAATTTTGGAGTTGCCGATCTGAATTCGGTAGAGCCAACAGCGATACCCGTAAGATAATCTCTTTCACAGCCTACAAGACTGCCTCTTCTGCCGCACCGCAACACCATTTACATTTTTTCAATGAGAATGGTGGGGGGGGTCGCCATGTCGGCATGGTCAGCACAGTTCCTGTACAAGGAGTTGGTCAGGCAGGAAGCCGCGGTCTCAGTTGCTCTTTTCCGACTCGCACTGAGACCTCGGCTCACTGTCGCATCTTTCTTCTAGGCTTTGCTCGAGGCATCTAGCAATGCCACTGCTATCAATTTTAAACAAATCCATATATTACATGGAAGATCTCACAGCTCTATGCCCGCGCCGTAAGCTCTACTTTTCCCGACAATTATGGATACATAACTTCCCAGAAGTTTATCAGGAGAAGAATGCATGACATCTAGCTTTTTACATTTCCAGACAGCTCAAGACTCGTCGCGCTTTATCCACGCCATACCTTAGACGAGATTATATCTTAAAATCAGATTGAAATCCAGACATTATTCCACGCTGTCAAAGGTCTGAATTTCCACATAAATGTTTAACATAACCCTTCGACACTTTAATTGTCATCCCCGTCGCAGGACGCGCAAATATTGTATCCTATTTGGTATCTTCGATGCCTCTGTGTACTGTCTACTTTCTTTAATCCACAACCCTGGGCTGTGTGTCCTACATCTTTAAGAGAGAGTTGCTTCATTTCCAGCTGGATTGATTGAGCGCTCCCCTCACAAGACACAATTAAATCCAGTTTTCTTAAGTAGACCGTCCTGTACTTTTTGGGGCCTGACGTTGTTATCGTCTGCCCTAGCGCCCAAACTCTACCCTTTCTACCCAGCAGCCAAGACCGAAGTGGGCACACAAGACGCAGATGCTCACTACTTTCTCGGAAAGAACATTAGAGAATGCCAAGAAACATCCTCGAAATCTAAATTGTTCCTTTACATGGCGAGAGTCCCCCCCCTGGCGCACTCATATTGCTTTCGCTATTAATTTCTCATTTGGCCTTCGCGACACAAACGTCGTACTCCACCATGAATTTAACGCCCACTGTTTCTATGAATTGGGTAAAATGAATATGGAAGGTCTCGATGTGAGTATTTCCTAATCAGAAACCCAAATGAAATTCGTAAATGTTATCACCATCGGAAGATGGGCTGACATTATAGTGGCGATGAACACATCTCCTAAACGTAGTCCGTCAGCTCTCGCATCTTTGATGGGTAGACAAACACGTCGAATATGACCGATACGCTTAATTAGACGGTAAATATACTCGCAATATATATCCCTTCAAATACTCTCAGCTCTCTTACTGACGCGCTGCACGTTATCGCCCAACCTGATGCGCGGCCTCCTTGTTTGAAGAACGCTGGCAACGCGCTACCGCCCATATGTCCACATAGATGATTATAATGCTTTCCTTATCCAGAGTGAGAGATTTTTCGTTCCAGATCTAAAAGTTTGAGAGAACCAGCTTTCTTGAGGTGGGTGTCGTCTGATCACCTGCTCTCGCCCAGTTGAATGTGCGCCTCATCAGTGCATTGTCAAGGCTGGTGATCACATCCAGGCAAGCCGTTACTACTTTCGGTCTTTTGGCTGACATATTCTGATCTCATCGGGACCAATAGTGGACAGCAACTTGTTAAGCTGGTCAAGTGATCTCAGGAAGAAGTACTCGACCGTTTGGTGCTGCATGCTTACAGAGGATACATTGTTTTCGCGACTTGGCCGTATGGATAGAGAATGACTGCATGTGCGGCCACCAAGTGCAACGCGATCGACATGCACTTTGCTCTAGAAAAGCGAAGAATCTAGGTGTCCGCGTTGGCAAGCACAAAGAGGTTGGACCTATGCGCTACTTCAAGGGGCAGATCCAGAAGCCTCTAACATATCTAGATGTCTACTTAGCTCTGCTATTTCAAGTGTCACACTATATGGTTGCTGGCACGATGTCCGTATGGCACCAACAGCTCCGCATGGTGTCCTTACGGACACTAGCCCACGCATCAATGGTAACTTTGATCTTTGTCAGAACGTCCATGAGCGGGACGTTGCCGTCGGCCTCGAGCTGGTCATTCAGGACAGCGAAAAGCTTCGTGACTAACAAGCTATAAAACGAGCTATAGAAATCCTCGCAAAGTGAGCAGATCCTGAGCACAAGAATTTTAGGACAGCTCTTGTCACGCAGCTATGAACACTTTAAATTAGATTTCTTCCTCTCCAATTTGTTTATTAAACCAATTGTCAGCATGTACTTAAAAAAACAGAATTATTTTAAATCGCATAATTCGTTATGATGCTGCGCGGCGAAATGAGGTACTTATACATATATAAGGGAAGGACACGGTGTGGTGCCGGCGCTGCGACAGGTCCATGTTGTACATTGGCGCAACTTCTCTCTACTCTCACGCCAAACAGCAAAGAAACCCTCGTACCTACGTCGTTCTGGTGTCAAACTGGCGCCGTCACTGTGTCGCGCCGCTTCCCACCGCACTGTTCTTTTCGGATGGCTAATCATCGCCTCTGGTCCAGTGACAGGACATCCCAAGATTCGACAGAGTCTGAGCATCTCATGAAGAAAAACTCAGAGTCTTCGTCATCGCAACACCAGGTGTGAATGCTTCCTTAAAACGAATGGTTTGACATTTTTATTATTGATTGACCGCCATGTTGCAGTGTGAAAAAGTAGCTGAAACAAATTTAGAGCAGATTCCGAAAGAACTCGAACCGCAAACAACACAATCGTGGCGCCAAAGAGCTAAGACTTTCGCAATCGAGTACGGTCGCGTGGGTGTCTGTACGCATGTTGTGTTGTCGCTGTTGTCATTCTCATTCATTTACGTCGGCGTTTCCAGCGGTTTGAATGTGTCCGCCATCTTGGAATCGTTGGGATTATCCACTTTAGCTAGTGAGACTGCGACTAAGTCAACTGGATCGTTCCTTATTACCTACACGCTCTTCAAACTATTAGCCCCGATCCGGTGGCCTCTTACGTGCACTGTCACGCCCGTAGTTCTACGTTCTTTGAGGCGAAAAGGGTTTATGCTCGCCGCGACCAACTCTCCATCAAATCGAGTTTCAGAGACACCACAGTGAAATTACTAAATGATGCAATGTATGGAGATATTAAAGCGTCAGAAATGTAAATTTCCAATAATTGATTTGAGTTTTGATTTTTGATCAACTTATTAAGATCGCAACATTTAACTCATTTGTTGCACATGGTTCTAAATTACTAGTTTGGCTGCTTTGATGTTCAAATGAATTCTTTTGCATAAAAGCATTTACATTGTCAAAAATAAGTAAATAGTGCAGCATCGTCAAGCAACTTACGGATCGATTCATCCAACATGACAATCCCGATGTCGTGAAGAAATCGAAAAATGCTGTTAAGTTAAAGTTGCGCACCTCCATGTCCTAAAATTGCACTTGGGTTTCGCTGTAGATCACCTTAAATTGCTTTTGAATGTTGCTTATCTTTTCGAATCGATGAATATCACGGTGGTATGTGTGTGTGACATGCGAGATCACAAGAAAAGTCGCACGCCTATAGATAGACATGGCGCAATAAGCAATAGATCAAAACTCGAGGAATGCAAAAGTCGTGCTTATTCACAAGATGGATCTTGTGACGGAGAATGATTGTCATGGTTGAAATGAAGATGGCCTTATTCTTCTGTGCTAATTTTCTGTCAATATGTATAGGTGCTCAACCAGAAAAAGGAAATGATCCTGGAGCCAGGTCTACCGACAGTCAGTTTCGGCACCTCTATTTGGCATGATCATCTATCGTACACTCATTGATCCCGAACATGCAGAGAAACATAACAATCCATACCACATTCAGATCCAATACTTGAGTGTGCGGTTAACACATTCATTAACCGTACGTCAATTTCACGACTTTCAATATCAACACATAAATCAGTAGCTCCACGCTTCGAAAAGTATGGTCTCGGTGGCTTTCAAAATCTCTTTTATAGATGACCTCCTGCCTACAAGAAGCTACCACCAGAATCATACATCAATTCCTGCGATCAAGCGTTTTCTGCCTTACCCGCCGCAATCCCATAGATTCAAGACTAAATTGTCTAAATACGAACATGCGAGTTCTTCACGTCTACTGATAACAGTAACAGCCAGATTTTTGTCAGTTTCTTGAAACAAAGCTAAACTCTGCGCTTTATATACACGTACATATGGAACCCAGTCGCATCGTGTCACGAGCTGATCGAATAGCACAAGAATAATTGGTTTGAATTGTTCAATGACGCAAAGTAGTTCGCGAAAATAATGGAACGCATGGATATTTTGCCCGATCCGAACTTGCCCATTAAAAAATCTTAGCACACACGTACAGTTACGATTTCTTGATGGTCAGGAGCCGCTAGAGACAGTCTCAACAAGCACTTGTTCTTCATGTAAGGTTTGTGTAGATAGACACCAACTACGAATTCAGAAAAATCTCCTGAACATTCCGAAACCTTTAAATTATCAGAGTCTTGTTGTGATTGTCATCATATAGTATAGTATTCAAAGCTTAAAAAGAATTTCATTGCCTGGAAACGTTTGACCTCGTCATTGGATATAGACGCAGTCTTTTGTCAAAGCGAATATTATAAACACTATTCTAGACAGCGACAAAATTTGTAGACATTTTCCTCAATCGGACCAGTTTCTTGTGACAAGAGACTCGACTATCGGTAGTATGTGATTCTCCAGACATAGCGGCAACAAACTTATATGATTATAGAGCACTCGAGCAACATCGCAACTTTCCCGCATTGGCTGCCAGACAGTTCCATAAACCACGTCAAATTTTAATCGTGGCGTCACTGTACAAAGTACGAGAAGCTTTAAAACCTGGCAGATCGTTCTGCAACGAAAATGTGCACCAGAAGTTGATTACATGCAATTATGGCACTTATCATATCGACACAAGATTTAGCGTAGCTCAGACCGTATCGAAATATTGCTTCATTGGGATTAGCAGTGTATCACACGTGGATTTTACAAATGGTACGCTTCGATATCCGTTGCCAATCTTTTCAGTGAAAGATTAATTTCGGCTACGCTTTGGACCGACAGCCGCAATCGCTATCTCATTGCACCTCATCTTACACCATGTGTGCATCTTACGCCCAGTGTACCTTAAATAAATGCAGCATAATACAGTCACATAATGATTGCGGCTGACAATTCTGTCGATCCGATAATTAGACGAAATTACTGGCGTAAGTGTTATTTTAAGTTTGGAGCCATAACGTACTCCCCCGCCAGTAGTTATAAATTTAATTAGGTCTCATTATGTAGATAAAAAAATTATTTATATAGATATGGAGGTTTTTCCGCAAAACAAAAAATTATAGTTTACAGTTTAATAATTAACCTTGGGTTAAGGTTGTCATTACTGTTAAAGTAAGTAGATTTCGATCCGGTACACTCGTACTGTGTAACGGAGTTACCCGTATCCTTGTATGAAAGAGCGGGTCGCACAAGATTGTGCGACCGTACATAGGTATGTATTATACAAGTTAGTTAGTGTAATCACACAGTTCGGTGTTCTACCCCGTAAGAAATAGCCACCACATGGCTTGGAGATCACAGATACATCAGCGCCACAAGATTGCCAGTAGTCATGCATATTACTATATTGATTAGTTTTTAGTATATAGTAATTTGGTATTACTCTATCAATAAAGGAAAACCTAGGGGTTTAGATACTGGCGGCTCTGCCGCGACTAAAGCAATTAAACACAGTTTCAATTTTGAACAGAAGCGTTCGTTTGCCTTGATAAGGTTTTAGTATTTGGAGGTAGCGGATTGCGATCCGCTACACTCGTACATGTTTTTGGAAAGAACTAAGGTCGGTGACCTTAGGTTGGCTTCCTCTAAGCAAAGAGTTGGTAGCACTCGTAGTTCTTCTACGTCTGAGTTGTTCCGACTGATCCTCTGTAAGGATGACGGAATATTCGTATTTGCCCCAGGGTATGCGGGCTTAATAAGCTGATGTCCATACTGGATCCTGAGGGCGTTTAGCACCTTGTTGCGCAAGGACCGACGCCATAAGCGCGCGCCTAGAGGCATTTTTGGGTTATGAAAATGCTCTCTGAGAGCATGTACAGCAGAAGCTATCAGCGTCGACGGTTCCGACATAGACACCGTCGACGAGGCATGAATCCTTCCGACCCAGGCCGCTCATGGTTGGCGTTTAGACCTTTGAGGGTAAGGCTGGAGAAATTCTCCCGCTCTGGATAAGTGAGGCCGAGATGGCTATGGCATTCGCCATGTTCTGAAACGAGCAACAGCGCGTGGCGCTAGCTATCTCTAAGCTCTGGGCCGAGCGCGAGAATGGGCATTAAAGTGCGGTGCTTCAATTGAAGTCGCGTCCCCCTCCTGGAAGGAGCAGAAGCATTAGCTTAGGTGGGTGTTTTCGCCGTCTAATCAGGCATGTCGCGTGAGATCGTGTTTCCTTGCTGCACGACAGGGAAAGAAGGAATTGGTGAACTTTGTCCAAGATTTGAGAATTCATATTGCCGGGATGGCAAGAGATCCTCTCTTCGTGGCGGTCGCAAAGACCGTCTTTCTGGAGGGCCTCTGCACTGGCATGGCTAGAACGGAAGTATTCCGAGTACATCCGTCTTTTTTTTAAGAAGCGGTGAATCTGGCATTAAATGCCGAATTAAACCTCATGTCGGCACGCCTTGGTTGGAATACACACCCTCAGATCTCGTCGAGCGGGCCTGAGCCAATGGATCTAAGCTATGCTGAGGAAGAACCGTTTGAATACCCGACGGTGTTTTGTCTGTGGAGATACCCGTCACCTTAGGACTGGTTGCTCTTTGTGCAAGGCGCGTAAAGGGTCATCGAAGCGACGTCCCGCTTCTAATCAGTCTGGTCTGTCGCGGGGAGCTGAGAAAATCCAGAAGGCGCGGGGCGCCCTACTGATGAAGAACTGAGTACTTTTGCGCCTCAAAGAGGTAGAGGGCAGCAGGGCCTAGCCCCGAAAAGCCCGTGTTTTTGAGCACATAGCGTGTATGCAAGCCGGGCTAGCTGGTCGTAAAAGAGATTTAAGAAGCGATGGAAAATCCTTATTGATTTTGGGGCGCTGGGCAATTTTGCTCGATGCTCCACGATTGAAGGAAGGTAGCTGTATGCTGAGGCGCTGGAAGCACGGTTGAGTCACACCGTCACTGTTCGCTTAGTAGTGGGGATTTGTGCCACTGTGCCAGGGACCTTTGTGAACCTCGGTGTCAATTTTCTTAACTTTGATGGCGTGAACGCTACCTAGGCTTAGACTTGGATGCAAGGAATGACCTTATCCTTGGTATACCATGGTTAGAATACCATAAACAAGGCTTGTTTGGAGGTCGAAGACTTTGGGCGCTACGCGTACGTCTCCTAGTGGTATTTTCGTGAGTCATGAATCAACCTCGTCTAGGAACAAGAAGCGCTATTGGCGCGGGTACTGGACCGGGACAGTCAATGTGCTGGATATCGCTGTCAAACACCAAACGTGTTTCGGATAACAGTCCCAAGCGCGGCTCGCGGGCTGAACGTGGATTGGCACGTAACCCACCATACAATACTCAAGTATTGAAGCAGTCGCTGCATGCCAAGAATGGCATGGTCTGACAAGGGCCGAGGTATCAAGAGCGAGACCCTTGTGATGCTCATGGAGTGGCATGTAACTCACTGAGCACTGCTCAAATATTCAAGCAGTCGCTGCGTGCTAAGATTGGCATGGTCGAGGCATCGAAGGCGAGGCCCGTGTGATCCGTGTGGAATGGCACGTACTTCTTTCATCTCACGTTTTCAAAGCCAAGTGTGGCACGGTCGGACGAGGTTTGAGCCATTCTGGATGATGCGCGTGGAATGGCACGTTATCCAATGGACGAAGGCTGCGGAAATAGCAGTTCTTTGTGGGAAGCTGTTAATATGATCAAGGCACTGATGGAGCTGGGAGTGGGGATACTAGACGACGCCGATGTGTGTTCTCACTGGTCTGGATGAGATGAGACGGCGAAGCCGAATGATATCTACAAGACGCCAGGGTGTGTCTACCGTGGACGATAGTGCACAGATATATATCCTTGTAGATGGTATGACTGGAGAGAGAGACGGCGACGCCTTCCTCGAAGCTATTCTCGCTGTGGATGCTCTCCTTGAGCAGAACGAAATTCCTTCGAAGGGTTTGACGGTGCCTTGAAAGCAAAATTCAGCCGACGTGGTCATTATAATACCTAAAGAGATTAACTCGTCGTCGTGGATGAAGATATCCTAGAGGACACTAAGAGGGTTCTGAAGGCAAGAAGTGGATCGTCGATTCTGAAGGATCCTTCCAATCCGTATTATTCTTTCGTTAAGGAATTTCAAAACGTCGTCTCCAGAGACCAGCCGTCCTTGGACCGAGGTGTGTGTCATGGTATTGACCTGTTTTCGGGAACTAAATACTGCAAATACGCCAATGGACCCTGCCTAAGGAGCAGTGCGACGTCATTGACATATTTTTCCATGCAAAGCACGAGCCAGGAATTTTGCGTGAGAGCAACTCTCCCCATTCGACACCCACATTTTATGTCCGGAAGCCGAATGGTGAGTGGCATATCGTTCTTGCTAATAATAAGATTAAAATGCCACCATTCCGGCAAAAATGCCAATTTTTAGAAAGGATGTTTAGTTCAAAGTACAGTGCACTTGACTTTGGTCGATGGCTATTACCAATTGCTCATGAGAGCGAGTGACATTCCGCTCTGAGCGGTGAATAATCTAAGCGGGATGCTTCTGAAAGTGGCTAATGATGTCTTAAGGGTTGTCAAATGCACCAACAATATTTAATCGTCTTGTAACGCAATTGTTTAGGTCCCATCGGGCGTATGCACATACATACTTCGACGACATCTTCGTCCACAGTTATGCGGGGCACGGAAGGTCAGATGAGAAAAACCGCATCGTCAATTCTAGAGCGGTGCTCAAGTTCATGCGCACAAATAAACTTTATGCAAACGCCGATAAATACACCTTTGACGCGAAAGAAATTCCCTTTCTAGGGTGCTTCATATGTAAGCGTGG